CTTCACAATACAAGTTCTGCATATGGGCTGTAGTTACTCTGTCGCCAATTTCATTTATTTTATCTAAGGATGAAACAATTAATCATATTAATCGATTCTTTAAATAATCAACTAATTTAGTAATTGATTAACCATTAACTGAAGAATAGGGCCACTAAAATGTGCCTTTAGCCGACAGAGCGACCCACTTAGAGCAGGAATTATAGCAAGATTGTAAAAAATATATAAACATTTTGCATTTAAATTAAAAAAAGTTTTTGTCTTTTAATATTCTCCATCCAGAACTCCTGAAGAGGAAACGTTTCTGTTTCACCTGGTTTCATTTAGTAAAAAATATTCTTTAAGGAACCTTTGGCTGATCTGATTATTCATCGATTCATTGAAAAAAAAAGAATCAACAGATTAATCAATTTGCAGAATAATCATTAGTTGCAGCCCTAATTTTATGGTAACTTTCCAAACACATTTCTTCCATCATGCAGCAGTGAAGGGCAGCTGCTTCACCCTGAGGCTGCCCTGCAGCATTATATCTGTTTCCTACAATCATTTAATGTTTCTATTATACAGGTGAGTTTTTAATAGTAAAGGATTAAATGTAACAAAACCTTTTATCATCATCCTATATTGCTACTGACTGACTGTTTAAATAGCTCCTTATGTCTATTTTCTTTTTTAGTGGCATCATCTACAAACACAACACTAAGAATGAGTTTATTCAAATATAAAATCACTTTTAACAAAAATAAAAGACAATATAACACTATCTTATCTGTAATGTAATAGTATCTAAAATAAACAGCCAGATTCTAGCATTATTTACCAGACATTCATGTTTGTACTAATTTACTTATGGACCGTGTGGAAATCTAGAAAAATAGAATCACTGTAAATAGAGTTCCTCTGTTTGTCTTTATCCTATTTCTAGAAGTAGAATCAATTAAATAGAACTATTTTTATGTGGAAAACAAAAATGAGCAGATCTTTAGCATCATTCTCATGTTGTTATGTTCTATAAAATAAATAAAACCAGTTATTTATACCTGAACTGCCGTGAAAATGAAAACATTAATAGCAAAGAAATATTGGTGAGAGGGAATCAGAAATGTTGATAGATTACAGTCTTTGTTCATTTTAACAGCAGTTTTCTGAACTCCTGTCTGACTCAGAATATTTAGTTTGAGAAAAGAAATCTTACTTTCATTTCTCAAGTTCATCAAATCCAAACTCTCTCCTGCTTCTTTACAGAACTGCTATCAGAAGCTTTCGCCTGTTTTTGCGTAAATAATATTTAGTTTTTTTTTTAATTGCCTAATATTAATTTTGGTAACCGCCGTATAGCGTCAATGATTTTTTGTTGCACTCCAAGCCCGCGCACACATACAGACTAGAAAACAAGCAATCAGAAAGAGAGAAGGATGAACTTAAGGTATAGAAATCAGATAGTTAAACAGCACAGCACAGTTGATGCACTGCTATGGGAAAGATAAAGGAAAGAGCAGGAAGCTGCAGCTACCAGGCAGAGGAGCTGGAAAAGAAGCCACTGCTGCAAAAACGCTGGATTGTATTTTATAAAAATGTTGTTGACATCCAATTATTGGTAGGGACAAGTAGGTCGGTCCAACATTTTGGTAGGGACATGTCCCTATGGTCCCTATGCAAACCTACGCCCATGCTCCAGAGGAAGTGGGAAACCCTGAAGGAGCTGCAGCCAAAGGTCCACTGGAACCTCAGCGACTCGTCATCGTCACCAAGTGGGCAACGTTTAGAAAAGGGAAATCTGCTGCTTTACCAGACAGAAAAGCTAAAGCTGTTAAATACAAAGTTTACATGCAGTGGATGCCGACATGATGCAAACACATTCTAGACTGAACATCTAATCTGTGCTGAAGGAACTGAGATGATCGGCTACTATCATGAGATATTGAAATAGATGTTAAAGGGTTTTCCTTTCCGTAATTTGAAAAAGTTTCACCTCATTGTTAAAAATCAAAGGAAAGAAAGGAGCCAAAATAAAGCCAGCTGGTGTTCTGGTTTCAGGTACGTCCCAGTCCCACCACTGCATGGCGTCTGCAGCTCTTCCATCAGGTTACAGGTTTGCTTTCTTTTCCATGAGCACTGATTCTCTCCACAGTTACCAATTTAGAAGATGGACTGAATGTTCCCATCTGCATGTTTACAGGTTGGTCTCATGACCAAACTGGTCTGCATGCCGACTGCTGAAGCCCTGAGCGTAGCAAACCTTAGCGCCTGTTTCAGGCCAATCAGCTCCTGAACGTCTCAGCCCAGACGCGTTGGGACCATAGTGATGCCCAACGTGCCGCAGACCTGAACCTCCTGTTCATTTACTCACATGTGGACGTGCGGCGGCTGGAAGCGTCCCTGGTTGATGTTGTAAAAGGTGAAGGCCTGAGTGGGGTTGGTGCTGTACTCGTCCACTTCCACGGCCGCCCTGCCGCCCCTCTGAGCGTGGGACTGCGCCTGGGACTGCTGCCGCCTGGCCGCCATGATCTCTGACAGGGTGAAGGCCATGGCTGTGGGAGAGGAGGTCTTCAGCTCCTGGATGCCTGAGACGGTCGCTGGCCACAGGGAGACGTCTGTCCTTTAATGAATCAAGAAGACGCTGAGCTCAGTGCCACGCTGATCTGAGGAGTCAACATATCCTCCTTCTCTTCCTCTGTTTCTGCTGGTCACCTGAGGAGAGGCAGGAAGCAGAGATTAGAGAGAACGCTGGATATGTGGAGTGAAACCATCACAACATGACACCTCTTCGACCTTAATTAGCTGCTGAAACAATTATAAACTGACCGACTATCCCTGTTCCTTCACCTTTCTGCCATCAGTTCAGATCTCCTTCCTCTCCTTCGCTCCGCTCCCTGCCTGACCTCCTGGCAAAGGTCAAGCAGCTCCGCTCCCTGCCTGACCTCCTGGCAAAGGTCAAGCAGCTCCGCTCCCTGCCTGACCTCCTGGCAAAGGT